GCTCTGTTTATTTCCATGTGGTTCGGATATGATCTTCACAAACGCCGCCCACTGAGGATAGATACCATCGGCAAGATAGTATCCCATGTTGTAGTCTCGGCCATTGATGGTGTAGTTGCACGGTGGTAATTCCCCATTGCAAAGCCTCCTGAACACCGGATATTGTTGAAGCACGTTGATGTCGTTACGAGAACCCGACATTTCCAAAGAAAGCATGCCGAATTCCTGAGTCATGTGATGCCACTGCTTCTAGTATGAGCATGGCCTCTCTGGTGTGACCTTGATACATTCCCAGCAAACCTTTGTGGCAGTTCTTCCATTGTCAATGCATGCAATCAATTGATCCGAGCATTCTTGAAAACCCCCTTGCCTCACCAATAGCCAACAACTTCTCCTTCTCCTGTGCATTTGGTTCTTTGAGATACTCACGTGCAAACACCTCCACCACGACGCGGGAAATCTTGACAATAGTCTTCAAGCACATGCTCTCCCCCATCCTGACCATCTCACCAACGACATCTGCAGCAGTACCAAGTGCAAACATTCTCAGAGCAGCCGTGCACTTCTGCTTGGCAGCGAAAGATAAATGTCCGCAGCAATCCCTTATGAGCTTGAAGTCGTCGTCGTGTGCCTCCACTCCCTCCACAAATGCGCAAAAACAATGGTTTCCGCATGTGGAAACAGCGATGAAACCATGGGTCATCCGGGAAAGTAGGATTAGGAGCAAAGTAATCCCTGTGCAGTAGCTTTGCTCCGGACACCCTATCTCGGTTGATCAATCTTCTCCCTTTGATTGAGCCCTTGAAGTTGAGAATATGCTCTTACCGGTTCATTTCCTCTTACATGATGATGAGCATGATCATGTCCACTTCTTCGCCTGAATCCGAGGAATCAAAGAACTCATCTTGAATCATTTGATCAAGCTCCATCGGTCCATACTCCTCCTCCGATGAAGCATCGGAATCCATCGTTTTCCCTAATGAAATCACAAAAAATCCGGTCGGACAATGTGTCGAACACATCAAGCGCAAGGCGGAGCCAGAGAGTTGCCGGATGTACCCCGGTGGCGTCCGGCCCGGCGACGACGTTCACCGCAGCGAGCACGGGAGAGAGAGGAGTTCCCTGTCAGAGCTGGCGGCGTAAAGGCTAGGAACGGCTGCGGAGCGCGTGCACGACAGAGCTGCGAGACGGATGGCGCGGAGGAGGAAGAAGAGAGGAGATAACAAATATATCCGGCAGGTCTTGGGTGTGGATTTGGTGCAATTTGCGGCGGGATCGAGCTATCAGGTCCGACGTGGCGAGCGTGCCCGGGTGCCCCTATATCCACCCCATATATGGCTAGATATGAGTGGTGCCGATCAGCTCGGGCATTTGAGGCCCGTTTAAGGAGCCCGTCTGGGTCAAAAATCATGACCGGACAGTGACCAGGCGGCCCGCCTGGCGGTATGAGGAGGGTTTGAGGCGCCCGGCTATAGATGCTCTTATACGTCGATGCAGCAGTGTATTTCCCAGACACGTCGCAAGGCCACTCAAATCGGTCCGGCATCTCGGTATTCCTGTCAACCGTGGCGATGGCTTGGCAGAGCTCATAGACTTGCATGTGACCCAGAAAGGATAGCTCGCCGTGGACGTCGTAGTCCAAGCATTATCGATGAGCGCATGCTGGACAGTTCTTCTGTTGCGGTTTCTGGTGCTGAGGGACTGCAATAGGAGAGGGACAATGTCTGCTACCGCAACACCATGGATCCAACGGTCTTTCCAGCATAGCACTTTTGATCCATCACCCACCGTGATCTTGACAAAGCTATCAAAAAACCCTCGAGCTTGCTCGTCCACCATCATGGGCAGGCCTTGCCAAGGCCTATTCGGGTCGGATCTTCTCAGCCATTCCCAACATACTTGAAGCACGAGCACCTGTAAGCTCATGTTTTTAATCCCGAGGCCTCCAAAGCGAGTCGGAAATCATATCCCAGGCGACGAGTCATTGACCGCCGTTGATCTTGTCTTTCCCGGCCCAGAAGAACTAGTAAATGATGAATCGGCCTGGCTGCGATCAATGACTTTGACGAGGATTAGCCTTCCTGACCGCTGAATGAACCCACCTGATCGATGAGGGGCTGCCACCCTGCTTTAGTCAGCTATATAGTTTATCCCAAGTTGAAGGCCTAGGTAGCGGCAGGGAAAGCATCCAATTTTGCATTGCAGCATCACCTTCACTATCTGTTTATCTAGCTTGTTTTGCCTGATGAGGATCAGGTTAGACTTGCTGTAATTGATCCGTAATCCAAAGTCTTCACCGAATACGTCAAAAGCTGTTTTCACAAAACTAAGATTTTGCGGTGAGGGCCTGATGAATTGGGCAAGATCATCAGCATAGAGCGACATCCTTTGGGTGGCAGTGGCAGAGATCCGAACTCAGAACTCCTTCGTCGCTTGCCTTGTTGATTAGGAGTACGTAGGTACGTCACGCGGCCGGGGGTGGGGGGATCCATCCTTTGGCGTGGTGGCCAAGGCCCTAATGAATCATGTTACTCCCTCCATTCCCTTATATAAGGCCACAAACTCAAATTACAGGTCCCTATGCAAAATTTAATGACTACTTTGCAAGCCAACTTTGCTTCTTGTTATATGAGATTATTAATACGCCTGCGTGCATGTAAGGAAGGAATGAGAAGGAAGTACAGTAGCGCAGTGTCATTATGATTACATGCATGCAAGTATTAAATAAGTTGCTAGTACGAGAAAACATTATTAAATTTTACCTCGGTTACTGTTAGTTGCTTTATATAGATGCAAAATATATTTTTCATAGTGACCTTCTATAAGGGAATGGAGGGAGTACAAACCTCTAAACGCAACATGCCTCGCGCTGCAAAGCATTCGTCAACGGTGCAACCGTGACCCGGATCAGCCGGCCCACGCTGCCCACACGCAGCAATCCACCCAGCGCCAGACCCGCCCGCCGCGCTCGTGAGTCGTTGGCTCCGCTCGCACGGTGGAGGATCGACCTCTGTCGGCCCGTCAGTCGTCGTCGGTGCGCGTCGCGGCAGGCTGCCAGGTGCCACCGCCGTCAAGGCCGCCTTAAATACGGCGACCGATCGGGTCACAGCCCACGTCGCCGCGCAACCGCTTGCGCGCGGAAAAACATAATGGCATAAATGGCCGGCGCGGTTGACTACGCGCGTGAGTGCGCGCCGTACGCAGTGGCTGACCGGCGCGCCGATCCAAGCGGCCGCCCGGCAAGCATCCATGGACCGATCCATCTTGCACGGCGAGTGGCACGAGCTGGTTCGGGCCACGAGGACGACGGGGCATCGGCCGCCGCGAGCGTACTACGTGGGGGCTCGTCATCACCGCACGCGCTCCGCCGGCGCCAAGGGCGAGACGCGATCACGCGAACATCCGGCCCGCGAACAGATGTTGGGGCCTGGGGTGGCGTTTCTTCAACGGCCGGGGCGACACTTCGCTTAGGCCACACGTACGCGACGTGCTCCTGTCCATAGATAGATCGTGCTCCGGCCGGTCCTGCCGTGAATCTTGTACGTACTGCTGTTCTGAACTCACTCTTGCTGGCTCACATTCATGCAACGTTTTCTCTGCTCTGAGCCGAGCGTGGCTGGATGGATCACGGGTGTCCGGGTCCATCAAGCAACGCTGCTGCTCTCTCCTGCAGAAGCTACACCACGGCTCCTTGGCAAGATTCCTTCCCAGGGTAAATGTGAGGCTTGATCAAATTCGACGTACGTAGTGCTACAGTAGTTTCTCCTCCTGTTTTATTGTGTGGACTATAGCAGCAATGCTCCTACTGATGGAGTGGAGTGAGTGATGGGGGCATTGATGGAGCAAGGCAGTGCCCACTAAACGGCCACTGGTCTCCATTAAGGCATGCCTGCCACCCATCTCATCTCCTCTCCCCTCTCCTCCCTCGCGAGGCCATAAATGTCTGCGCCATGCCAATTAATGTCCACAGCTGAAGAAATACAGTGTCTCTGCTCTCTGTATGCGTGACCACACAACCTTCTCTCTCTCTCTCTGTTCGTCCCTCTTCCTTCATGGCCGGCCCCCCGTGCCTTGCCATGGCAGCAACCCGTCATGGCGCCGTCCCGTCTGCTCGCTCGGCGGTCAGGATCGGCCGCCATGAAGGCTCCTTCCATGAATGCCTCCGGCGTGCATAATCAGGAAGCAAATCGCTTTGCCATGCACCAGCATTCCAGCAAGCAGCTTCCTGCACGTACGCGCGCGTAACTCATGATAAGGATGTCGACGAGTACGGCCGGCCGGTGCTTTCACTCGGGCCGATCGGTCGTCTCCCTCCCTCGGATGCGTGCTTGCAACAGTGGCCTCATTCATGCGCGCGTGAGCAGAGTCAAAGCAAAGAGGTTTATGAAGCAATGCACGGCTGGTTAATTGATGCGCTGCAGCATCCATCCATGGTCCATCACATATCGCATCGGCTAGCGTTGTGTCAGTGCGGTTGTATGGCTCTGGCTTTTCGATCAGATCGGATCAGAAGCCCTCAAGTTTATACTAGTACTTGGCTTCTGACGCGGTTAAAATGGATGGAAATGGATTAATGGACTGATCGAGCAACGAACGAGCCACAAGACACATGTGTAAGCAGAGCCAAAGAAAATGGTGATTTTTCTTAGAAAAGGAGGGTCACCCCGGCCTCTGCATGATGCATGCAGCCCCAAAAAGAAAATGGTGATGAGCCGCTAGCTATCTGACACGGGAAGGATCGATCATGGCTTCTACTGAAGCCCTAGTAGAGCTATGTTCATTCATATGTCCATCTCCATCTAAACCACCTAGCGATTTCAAGAAAGGAAGAGCGGGCAGAAGGTACGGTGGTCACTTACACAAGCTTAGACAGAGGAACTTGCGATCAAAATTCCCTTCTACAACCAGACTGATCTCATCATATAGCTACTGAACCTCGGAATCTTTCCTCGTCTTCTTGATCTTCAAAACCTGGCAGCCGCGAGCTCACGCCTCGCCGCCTAGTGCTCTGCAGGTGCTGCCGGGTCGTTCCGGTCATCATCATGGTCATCCTTGGTGGCCGCGGCCGGCTGCGGCGGCGAAGGCGGCGCGGAGCACATCGGGATCACCGACCGCACGCTCACTGCCATCGCCGGCGAGTGGAATCCGCCCGCGGCGAAGTATCTTGGCGCCGCGCCGGCGTGGTGGTACGCCGGGACGTGCGGGTAGTAGCACGGCGCCGACGGCATTGCCTCTTCTCTGTTCGTCACCATGGCCCTCTCCAGCATCTGCACCAGCTCGGCCGCATCGATCCTCCTCTGCCGCTCCAGCTCGCCGCCGTGACGGGAGGTGGACGGCGCCGGTCGCTGCAGCATGTGCAGCGGAGGCAGTATCCTGGGGCCGGCCGGCTGCGGCTGCACGTGGCGCGTCCTGGGCTGTGCAGCATGGGAGCTCAGAGGCAGCCATTGGTGGCTGTAGAGCGACGGGTTCGGAGCAGAGGACGAAGAAGAGCCGGCGAGGCAGTGCTGCTTCGGTAAGGGCGACGCCGCATTGACATCGCAGCGCTGCTTCAGGGCGGCGAGCACTCTGGCTACGACCACGTGCTCCTGCTCCTCGCCGACACAGCCGTTGCCGGGCTCCTTGCGCGCCTCCGGCACTGCAGCAGGAACCGTGGGACCATTGGTTAGCTGTGATCTACCAAGATCCGGTGGTATTGAGATTTGGGAGGGCTGTGGTGAACTGCTTACTCTGCTTAAGGGCGGACCAGGCGGTCATGGCAGCGTTCTTCTCCGCCTGCTTCTTGGTCCTGGCGGCGTCGCCGGCGAAGCTGAGGCCAGCGAGCTCCACGCTGGAGGCGAAGACCGGCGAGTGGCCCGGGCCGGAGCGCACGGTGGTGTAGGCCGGCAGCTTCAGCCCCGCCCGGTGCGCTGTCTCCTGCAGCAGGTTCTTGTACACCCCGGTCTCGTCCTGCGCGCCAATGGCATCAACGACACACCAACCAACACAGTCGAGTTTGAGTACACCACTGGCATCATCAACGACACATGCAGAGCAAGCAAGCTCATCGAGGAGAAGAAGAAGCAGCTTACGAGGACTCTGGCGGTGAGGTAGGTGGATGGCCCGCGGGTGGAGAGGCGGGCGAGCGCGACCTCGGCGGCGGCGTGCTCGGCCTGGCGGAGCGTGGTGCAGCAGGTGGGCCCGTGGAAGGTCTCGCCGTTGAAGGTGACGGTGGCCTTGAAGCGGGGCGCATGGTCGGGCCCCTCCCGCGTGCACACGTACGACGGCAGGCTGAAGCAGCTCCTCTGCGCCAGCTCCTGCAGCTGGTTCTTGTACATCGATCCGGCCCCTTTGTCACACAGCCACCTATCTATCCCCTCCCCTCCTCCTTCACGGGATCATGGCGGCCACCGCCCACCCCAGCCGCCGCTCCAGCGCACCGCGCACGCGCACGAGATCGATCGTGGTGGCTGCGGTGGTGTTCTTGGCGAAGGAGAAGATGGGAGGGGGGGTCGAGCCGGGTAGGCGAGAGTGTTTAAGCGAGGGTACAGACCTTCATCTCTCTCTCACTCTATACTGTGGTCTGTGCCTCTGTATACTACCTCTGTATCTGTGCGTCTGCGGTGCTCGGCTCCACCCTCGCTCTCTCCCTCCGGCAGTCCAGCTAGGGGCATAGCAAGCCAGGGTAGAGTGGATCAGTGGCGAGATGAGGCTGGGCTGGGTTGGGTGGGGGGCACAGACACCTTCTGGTATTAATGGCGGGCATTTATGGTGTTTTGTAACCATCCTGCGCTGCGCAGCACGCTTACCCAGGGCGAGCCGGTCCGGTCAGGATGGCATCACGGTCTCCGACCTCTCCCTCTCCCTCTCCCTCTCTGCTGCTGCTCTCTCTCTCTGCCGCAACCGGCCGGCCGGCCAGCACATGCGCGACGCTGCGGCGAGCCAGCGCCAGCGGCAACGATTCCTTCGCCCGCCTCGTGGAGTCGCGGAGGCTTGGCTCCATTTGGCACGGGGGAGAGCTGGACTGTGCTCTGCTCTGCTGCACGTACGCAGTACGCACACGTATATATTCGTTTCGTGGGTGAAACGGCGCCGCAGCGCATGGCAACGAGAGAGACTGTTGGCTGCTGCCTACTACGCTCGAGCAGCTGATCGACGGCCCTCCCGCTCTGCCGCCGCATGGCGCCAAGAAACTGGCGACTGCTCGTCGATCCGTCGCGGTCACTCATGGGCGCAGCGGTGGCGATGTAGGAGGAGCCCATTTGAATATGGCAAGCGGCTTTGTTAAGTTCATTCATCTTCAAATATTCTCCTGCGGAAGCACGGTGGAGGATTTACGGCACCCAAGTGCGGAGGCGCGCGGATTATGAACCGTTGATCTGCGCCAAGATTCACATAGTTGGAGCTTTTTTTTTGAAATGGTCGGGGGAGGGGGGAGGAGGCTCTATTCACGGGGTGTTTGGTTCGCGGATTTTTTAGTCCCAGAGACTAGAAAAAGTCTCAAAAAGTCCCTAGAAACCAAACGGGAGGGACTTTTTCTACAGCGACTAGAAAAAGACTCTACTGGAGAGTCTTTTTTGATTAGTCTCTGGGACTAGAAAAATCCTAAGACTTCTGAACCAAACACCCCCTCAGGTGGGGAGCCTCCCCCCCCCCCACCACCACCACCACCATCGGTGACCATTTAAAAAAAATAAGTGGGTACTAAACGTTACTGTTGTCCTTATAGTGTTCTTTCTGTTCTTCTATCTCATTGTTCTCTTGAAGTACTCTCTCCTTCACTTCTTACAATACTTTCTTTCTTAGAACTGTTGTTCAAGAAGCATAGCTGTAGAGGAGAACAGATTGAAGCTATTTGCTGCTAAATAGGCAAAGAAGGCAACGACTAGAAGGCACAAGGCGAAGTATAGTGTATAGTCAGCAACACATGTTAGTCAATCATGTATTTCGCTGTGTGCGTGTTGTTCTTCCAATGCTTTCGTAAGCACATTGTCGACTATGTGCTTGTTTTTCTTCCAATGTTTTCATAAGCACAATGTCAACATAAGTCTGTTGGATATTTGATATTTGCTTCTTTAACTCTTTTGTTCACTTTCTCCTTGAACATCTCAAAGCTCTGCCTTATGCAATTTTGTTGGAATAAAAAATTTGGTATAGATCATAGAACAATAAATAATATGGTAAGCCTGAGGTTTACGAAGCTAGGACGTGATTCTATATATCAGGAATTAAAAGTAAAAAACTTGGAAAGTATGCACGTTCGGAACATTAAAACTTACACAGTTATGTTAGTTAATTAGAGAAAAACTTATAGCACACATGTATTGTCTTGTACCTTCAGAAGAAATTTGAAAATAAATTCTTAACTACTTGAAGGATGTAGATTTAAAATATGTATCAAACATTATTTAAGTTTATGAAAAAAAACTAGAAACTTAATAAGAAGTCTACATATAGAAAGAGTGTGTATTTAAGTTTGTCAATACTACCTACTACTATAGCCAAAAAACACTTTATATATTGATTCACTTGTATTTGGAAGTAAACTTATTTATTATTGTTATTGTCTCCATTTACGTTCTAGTGCTAAAGTATGACGTATAAGTCAGGTCATTCAGCAAGTGCTACAGAAAAATGTAAAAGAGATTTGAGATATTATTACACTCAAGGAGATGACTCAAGCATTGAAAACGAGGATGACAAATGCAACTCTGAATTTAGGTTGAAGGTAGATCATCTTCGTGTTGTTTTGAATGGATTCACTGGATACAAGAAATTTACGTCATATGAAATCAAATTTGATGCCTTGTTGAACCTACCTTCAATTAAAAAGGTTCATCTTAATTTTAGTACATTTCTGGTAAATTCAACAGATGTCAAAGATCAGTGCATTAAGATGTCTCAAGACAGGAAACTCAAATTCTATGCTCCAGATATGCACAAAGTTTTTGGGTTTACTTGTGGACATAGAAATATTCATAGTATTGACGCTCAGACAACTGCTGCTTCTATCAACTTCTTGAAGAAAAATATAGGTATGATTGGAAATGATTCTCATTTTTTGAAGGCAACAGAAGATTTCTTATCCAGAGATATAACTGAGTTATCAAGTGAAGCTGAAAAGACATGTTTTAAGGCATCATGTGTTATATTTATTATGGGTCATTTGGGTACACCTTCACTACTACTGATTATTGGGAAGCTTTGTGTATTATATTTTTCTACCTGAATCTCTGTACTACGCTTCTATCAACTTCTTGAAGAAAAATATAGGTATGATTGGAAACTCCGGCACTGCATCTGAAGGAAATATGCCCTAGAGGCAATAATAAAGTTGTTATTTTATATTTCCTTGTTTCATGATAAATGTTTATTATTCATGCTAGAATTGTATTATCCGGAAACTTGATACATGTGTGGATACATAGACAAAATATTGTGTCCCTAGTAAGCCTCTACTAGACTAGCTCGTTAATCAAAGATGGTTAAGTTTCCTAACCATAGACATGTGTTGTCATTTGATAAAACGGGATCACATCATTAGGAGAATGATGTGTTGGACAAGACCCATTCGTTAGCTTAGCATTATGATCATTCAGTTTTTATTGATATTGCTTTCTTCATGTCAAATACATATTCCTTCGACTATGAGATTATGCAACTCCCAGATACCAAAGGAATGCCTTGTGTGCTATCAAACGTCACAACGTAACTGGGTGATTATAAATATGCTCTACAGGTATCTCCAAAGGTGTTTCTTAGGTTGGCATAGATCGAGATTAGGATTTGTCACTCCGAGTATCGGAGAGGTATCTCTGGGCCCTCTCGGTAATACACATCATAAGACGCCTTGCAAGCAAAGTGACTAATGAGTTAGTTGCAGGATGATACGGAACGAGTAAAGAGACTTGCCAGTAACGAGATTGAACTAGGTATGAAGATACCGACGATCGAATCTCGGGCAAGTAACATATCGATGGACAAAGGGAATTACGTATGTTGTCATAAGGTTCAACCGATAAAGATCTTCGTAGAATATGTAGGACCCAATATGGGCATCCAGGTTCCGCTATTGGTTATTGACCAGAGAGGTGTCTCGGTCATGTCTACATAGTTCTCAAACCCGTAGGGTCCGCACGCTTAACGTTCGTTGACGATATAGTATTATATGAGTTATGTATGTTGGTGACCAAATGTTGTTCGGAGTCCTGGATGAGACCACGGACATAACGAGGAGCTCTGGAATGGTCCGGAGGTAAAGATTGATATATGGGATAATAGTGTTTGGTCTCTGGAAGGGTTCCAGAGTTCACCAAAAGAGGTTCCGGATGTTTCCCGAAATGTTTGGATACGAGAACACCTTATTTGGGCCAAAGGGGAAAGCCCACGAGGCTTTTGGAAAGTGCAAAAGGAAGTTTTGTAGAGACCGGAGGCTAGACACCAGGAACCCTGAAGTCTAGGGGGTAGACGCCGGGAACCCTGGTGTCTAGCCCTAGAGACCGAGAAGGACTCTTGCCTTTCGGGCAAAACCAACTTTGAGGAGGCTTTTACTCCAAGTTTCGACCCCAGGGCTCCACATATAAATAGAGGGGCTGGGCTAGCACCCAAGATGCATCAAGATACACCAAGCCGTGTGCCGGTGACCCCGTTCCCTCTAGTTTATCCTCCGTCATAGTTTCCGTAGTGCTTAGGCGAAGCCCTGCGGATATTGTTCTCCACCAACACCGTCACCACGCCATCGTGTTGCCGGAACTCATCTACTACTTCGCCCGTCTTGCTGGATCAAGAAGGCAAGGACGTCATTGAGCTGAACGTGTGTTGAACGCGGAGGTGCCATACAATCGGTACTTGATCGGGACGGATCGTGAAGGTGTACGACTACATCAACTGCGTTGATAAACGCTTCCACTTAGCGATCTTCAAAGGTATGAAGATGCTTGATATGTCTCCGTAGTATCTATAATTTTTGATTGTTCCATGCCAATATTATTCAACTTTCATATACTTTTGGCAACTTTTTATACTATTTTTGGGACTAACATATTGATCCAGTGCCCAGTGTCAGTTCCTGTTTGTTGCATGTTTTATGTTTCGCAGAAACCCCATATCAAACGGAGTCCAAACGGGATAAAAACGGATGGAGAATATTTTTGGAATATTTGTGATTTTCTGGAAGAAAAATCAACGTGAGACGGTGTACGAGGGGGCCACGAGGCAGGCGGGGCGCCCCTAACCCTTGTGGGCACCCCGTAAGGCGGTTGACGCTCTTCTTTTGCCGCAAGAAAGCTAATTTTCGGAGAAAAATCTTGGCGAAGGTTTCAATCCAATCGGAGTTACG